GGCCAGCCGGCTGTCCAGGGTCTTGAGGTGCGTTCGAGCGAGGATGCCGAAGCGAATCCAATCGTGGCCAAGAAGGTCAGCCCTGGAGGCCCAAAAAGGACCGAAATCATGAAACAACCTCGAGCCTCGACTGCGCCCCTCTCCTGTTCTGCGGCATGCTCACGTTGCGATGAGGTCGACGTCGGTTTCCAAGACCGCGGGTTCAGAATTCGAAGGATGTCCGCAGCCAGATGAACCCCAGCTGGGGCATTCGATACCCCAGCGTCGCTTGGACCTGCAGGGGTAGGGTTCGTACGCGCTCGCAAAACACCGTTCAATGTTGGAAGAATGTGATGTGGCAACTCACGGGAGCCTCCCATGTCATCTTACTGGCTAATACGAGTCGACGCTAATCGTCGCTAATCGACGCCGAACGACGCTACATCGACACAAATCGACGCTAAATCGGCGCCTTCTCGTCGACTGCCAGACGCTAGCGCACGCTGATACACTCTTGCCGAGGACGTGAAACTCCCATGAGCTGCCACCTAAAGAATTGCAGCTGGTTCTTTTGCATATTCGCGGGACCTTGTCTGCCCCATCGCGCCGCCATCCGCGTAGAATGCGCGTCGACTCCAAACAGAATCCGCCGACCCCTTGGGGTCACGGCGTGTGAAATGCTCTCCCCTCCACAAGCCCCTCTCCCTGGGGCCCGGTCCGGCCGGTCTGGAGGGGGGGGGGGTGGGGGGGGCAAAGGTGTCGGACGCACACTTGGAGCCTCAGGAGGACCCAGAACGGGCAAAAAAGGTTCAAAAGTGCCCCGGAACGGTCCAAAAGAGCTACGAGTCGATGAAAGATCGTTCCAAAACGCCGAAGATTGCCTCCAAACGGCCCCATCAGTCTTCAAGACTCTTGAAATGGTACTACGGGGCGCCCCACGAAGGCCGTCCAGAAGCAAGCAAAAATCCTCCCATTCCCTCTCGGGGAAAACGTACATTTTCAGCAGATTCGCCTCTTGGGCTTCCACGTGGCCTACAACGGCCCAAAAAGCCTCCAGAATCGACCCCCGAATTACAACCCCAAAAGCTTTCGAGAGGGTTCCAAGACGGCCTCCGGGCGCCCCACAGGGCCCCAGAAACCAGCAACGGCCATGGAGAGCCGCAGGACGGTCCCAAGAGGGCCACAAACGGGCCAAGAGGCCTCCTGGTCGGCCCAAGTCGTTCAACAGTGCCCCAAGTCGTCCAACACTGCCTCCCGACAGCCCAACAGGCCCCCAAGACGCCTCAACACGCTACCCAGAGGCGTCCCAAGAAGCCTTCCAGAAGCCACGAACGTCCCACTCTCGATGAAAAACACATGTTTCCAACGCGTTTGCCTCTTGGCCTTTCACGCGGCCCCCGAGACCCCTTGCGCGCCCCAAGACGCGGCCCAAGAGGGCCTCCACAAGCAAACGTCGGCCCTCCTCTCTCGAGCACTTCGCCCCCAGAGAGAGGCCCTGGCGGGGATCCACGCTGCCCCCGAATGACCCAGGAGGCGGCCCTTCGACGACGAAAACCACGAAAAAACATAACACTTAGACTCTGCAGCAAAATTCGCTTCTTTTCCCCACGCAGAAATCGTTCACCATGGGCACCCCGGGCCTTTCCGGAATCCAGTCGAAATCGTTTTCCCGAATGCATCCAGCCGCGGCGACAAGGAAATTTCGTCGTCGCCGCCGATGTCTCACAGATTTTCGCGGTCTGTCGACCACCCGAAGCAACTCCTCGAACTCAGCCTCCAGGAACCGTTTTCGGTGCCCGGGACCACCACCGAGGGTCCGGGATGAGGATCGACCTCCCTGGCCGGCACCACCCCTTCGCAAAGGAAGGAGCACGGGGTGGATCGAGACTCGAGGCATGAGACTCCTAGTTCTTGGTCGCTCTCCGCCCCCTCTGGGCCTTCAGGAAGCTCCTCGTCGACGCAGATGGGTCCACTCTCGAGATTCTGGCTGGACGCACCCCCAGCTGGGTCTCAGCGATCCCCGAACCTATCCAGGGGGTGGAAAAGAGGAGGCATGGGACAGGCCCCGTGAAGGCCCCGAGAAACCCATGTAAGACCACGAAAAAATTCAAAACAATCCCCTACAGGGCCCACCCATTGAACCCCACACGCTACGCAGGACAAGCCGAAACCCCAAGATTGCCCAGCGATCGCGCGCGCTCCGCGAACTCCGTCTTTCAATCTTGCTGCCGCCTAAGGGGTCGGCGGTGCGGCGTAAGAAAATTAATATACGAATCCGCGTCACATCCGCATCGAATCCACATCGAATCCGACTACGTCGGACGCCAGAAAAGGACCGAAACCTACGACACGGACGAGGACCCCCGAAGTTGCAACGTAAAGCAGGTGACGTGCAGCCCTGAACGCCCACGGAGCGGCCGTCGCCGAGCCGGCACGGCAAGGGCCCGCCTCCGCCCATCCGCGACGCTCCTCGCGGGCCTCGTCCACGGTCGTTGTGGCGACCACCGTCGGCAGCACGGCCCGTGGCGCATCCTGGGCCGGCAGGGTCAGTCTCGGCGGCGACCACACGGGGTGATGAGCGGCAAACGTATCCATAACTACGACCTCGCGGTCTTGATTCTGGGACATTCCGCGGCGGGCATCCGCGAAAAAACGCCCCGTATCCGCGGGGTCGCGGCCTAAGGGCCAGGCCTGCGAGGCCGTTGATACGGAGATGTTTTTCACCCACGAAGGGGGTGGCGCGAAAGGGTGGGCTTCTGAGGACGCGGAGGGGCGTCTAACAAGACGTGGGCCTTCTTGTTCGAAGGCACCAGAGGCTTCGGGGAAGCATTCTTGGAAGCCTGGCTTCTGAGAAGGCCCCTTACCCTCTTGGAAGGCGCTCCGCCTTCTTAGAAGCCAACCCCCCTCGCGCCACCCCCTTGTTCGCGCCTCCAAATCAGCATCGAATGAGGAAATCGGATCGGATCGGAATGTGGATCGGGTCGAGCCGCATCGGCACGGAGTCGAAACCGAGTCGGCTGCGCCAGGGTGTACGGCAGCGCCATGCAAGCATCGAGCCCCGTCGGATCGGCAGAACATCGGGATCGCATCGGATGGAGCCTACCAAAATCGAGGTCGAACCAGATCGATCGGATCCTGATGGGCCCTGGGTGGCGGGGCGCGACGCCACTGCAGTGACTTGCAGAAGTCGTGCAAAGGTCGCCCTCTCGACGCTGCCGACGATCGCGGGACGGACCCCAGACAAAATCGCGCCGTGGAAAAAAAACTCGCCTGAGTGCGTTGGGCCATTCTCGGTCTCTGGGGGTCCTCACTGTAGTCGCTGGGCCCGTCAAACAGATACTCGATCATAAAAAAACGGTGCTGAAGAAAGGGTCCGAACCTCCGTAGAGAGCAGAAAAGCACCCTCATAACAAGCACCCTGGCAAGCGAAGCCGTTTAGTTCACGCACCCAGGGAAGGAATCGAACAGGGCAGGGCTGTTCAGTAGACGCTCAAGGCCGTTTAGTAAACGCCAATTATGAGGGTCTGGATGTTTTTCCTCCCGTGGCCCCAGGGGTGCACATTTTGAACCAATCGGTTCTTGGGCGTTTTTGGGCGCTGTGGCGGCAGGAGGAGCCACGCGAAGCCTCTAGGGGACACGAGGAGCCACGCAAAGCCCCTGGGAGCAGCGTTGAACCGATCCCCTGCCACCACTGGCCAGAGTACCCGCCTGGGTGAGGACACATGCCCGCACCTTCGGCTTTCGTGGGGCCCATCCCCACCCAGCAGGGTGTGCTGGTGGGGCCGAGCTACCCTGAGCCAGTGGGGATGGGGATAGGTTTAACGACGCTGGCCCTGGAGGAGCCCTGACAAGCCTTGGGCTCCCCTGGAGGAGCGCCCGTCGGGCCGACGGCCTCCCCCAGCGCGGCGCGGAGAGGTGCGCCGCCCACTGAGGGATGGGGGACAGGAAAAGGGAAAAGCGGCACCAAACACCACCAGGGGCCACCAGCGCGAGGAGCCACGGGTGGTCCCCCCCGTGGTGTGGTCTCCCCCTCCTAGTTCGGGGAGGCATCGTGGACCTCCTCGCTGGAGGTGGCCCCCTGCATGGTGGTGTTGGTGTCGCTTCTCCTTCCCCCAGGGGAGAGGGAGGCCCAGGCCAGAGAGAGGGGGAGGGGGAGGGGGGGGAAAATGAGCGTGGGGCCGTCAATCCGACGAGGTGCCCTAGGAGGAGCCCTTTAGATCCCCCACCTGGACTCCGTCCTCAGGTCAGGGCCCACCAACAGGACGCCCCCCCCAGGCTAAGGCTCATCGAGGGAGGACCCACGCGGCGAAGAGAGGAGGAGGAGGAGGAGGAGGAGGAGGAGGAGGAGGAGGAGGAGGGGGAGGAGGAGGGGGAGGAGGAGGAGGAGGAGGAGGAGGAGGAGAAGGAGGAGGGGGAGCAGGACCAGGGCAAACCCAAAATGCATTAGCGATGCTGCAATTCACCCTCCCGTCCCAAGTCTCCTCCTCATAGGTCCCTACAAGCTGTCCTGCTCCTTAAAGCAACCGCCACCTTGAAAGGCCATTCAGCCGAGAGCCCCGGTTTGACAGGGAACTACCTTGAGTCCTCTTAACTCCGAGCGCAGAACAAGGAACGTGAAAAAGATATGATCACACAGATCACCGTTGTGTCCAGCGAGATCCCCGCCTTGAAGAAGGACCGCTCTCCATCCGCGTAACTATTGACCAAAATTCGCGGATGTCTCAAACGAGAGCATTACTTTGAAAAGGAACCGTCCTACACCCGCACAGCTAGTATATATGCTGAAGTTTCTGACCTTCAAAAGTGAGGAAATATCAAGCGAGAGACCCATGTTGAAAAGCAACCGTCCTCCAACCTTGTAACTATTGCAATAGTTTGAAACGAATGTGCGCGGCGCTAGGGCGAGAGTCTCATTCGACAAGGAACCACCCTACATCCTCGCAACACCTGCAAGCTGTTAAAAAGAATGTGCGCGGCGCTATTGCGGAAGCCCCATGTTGAAAACAACCATCACCCCCTCCATCCCTGTAACTGACACAGGCTACAAAGAACCGCCCTCCATCCTTGTAACTGCTGTAAGCTTCTAGAATGAATGTGCTCGGCGCTGAGGCGACAGTCCCAGTTTGAAAATCACTGTATGTTCTATCCTTGCCACTGTTGCGAACGTCAAGCACCTGGACCGAAAAGGTGAAAAAACATTAAGCGAAACGCGCAGCCTGCCCGACCGAAACGTTTGGGGGGTGCGACATGGAAGAAGGGTGGAGGAGGAGGAGGAGGACGACGACGACGACGACATCGAGCTGACCCTGTGGTGACCAAGGTCACGAGGAAGGCAGACCCGGGAAGCTAGAGGCTGGCAGCTCCAATATGTTAAACTTACTGCTCGGATCTCTCGACCCCAGGGCGGCACCCGACCTTCATCCGATATCCTTGCTTCCCTCCTAGACTCCCACATCACATTTCTATACATCACCCCGCACCCAGTGTCCATCGACTCAACTGTCACTCCTCCCCCTGCCTCTCTCATTAGTCCATCCCTCTCGCCCTCACTCCCTCCCCTCCCTTGTTCCCCTCGTTGTTCTTCCCTCCCCCTCCTCTCCCCATATCCCCTCCCCCTCCCCTCCACTCCCGTGTCTTTCCACCCAAGCAAAAAACCGTTTGCGCCCCCAAGTCAGATGATGATATTTGAGCCATTCGTTATCATGGCGCTCCCGTCCCACCACATTCTCGTTCCGACAAGACGCTTCCCGTCATCCGCCAGCTATGTGCGGGAATTCTCTGTATCGAATAGTGAACTCCAAGGGGCCCACAGTCCCGAGTTCGCTAGGGAGCCTCAAAATTGCCAGAGACGGCATCAAGATGCCGCCAAGACGGCCCAAGCGGCACTCGAGTCAATTCAAAAGAGCTCCAAGACGTGCAGGATGACCTCAAGAAGGCCCAAGAATTCCAAGACGCCCCGAAACGGCTCCAAAAAGAGACCCGTAAGTGTCATTACGGGAAGGCGTGCAGCGTTCTCGCGTTTTCGCGATTCGAACCTCCAGGACGGCACAAGGGGACCCCAAGATCGCCCCAAGACGGTCCAAGAAGCCCCCAGGAGGGCCCCAAGACGGCCCAAGAGAGCCCCAAGACGGCCCAAGAGGCCCCCAAAGCGGCCCAAGAGGGCCCCGAGAGGGGCCCAAGAGGGGGAGCACGAGCTGACACTGCGAGCCCCCCGCTCCAAGATGAGCCCCGAGACCTCCAGCAGACCTCAGGGAGGCACCCAAGGAGCCCCAGGAGGCCCCCAAGAAGGTAAGGAAGGCCCCAAGAGGCCCTCGACAAGGCCCAAGACACCCCTAAACTGGCTCTAAGAGGCGTCCGAGAGGCCTCCCAAGAGGTCCCAACTGGCATCCCAGAGGCTTCTGACCTACAACCCAGGCACTGCGGCTGAATGGTGAAGACCACTAGCAAATCCAGATCCTGCTAACTAGTTCAAAATCAGCTTATCCATTGTCTCTAGTCTGAGCAAGTTGCCTATCAGCTGGAAACTCAGAATTAAGGTTGTGTGTGTCAGATGTACTACGAAACGCTTTGACACAAACAACGTGTTGCTGAAATTGGAAGCACGAAGGCCATTAATCGAACGATGCCCTCCATCTAAGACATCACTCATGTCCAGGCATGGGCGTCCTCAGCCTAAGTGCGCTCCAGCGAAACTTGGAAGCCTCGGGAGGCTTAGGATGACTCCGATCTACCCAGCAAGGATCTGGAAACTTCCCACACACACACACACACACACACACACACACACACACACACACAATAGGATGGACGCTAAGAGGATGCAGGGTTGCGCCCATTCCCTGGCGCCCTCCCTCCATCCCCAGACATCGGACGACGAGAGTTTTCACAACGTGGCCCATTCCCAGGGACCAGCTTGTCGGCTTGAGTCGACGATCCTGTGGCCCGGTAAGGGACCCCAGAGAACGATAACGGCCAAAAACCTTCCGTCGTGATTGTAACACGACGCGAGGATGTCCACGTCCACCCCTTCCCCCTCCTCCCCATGCATCCCTCCATGTCCCAAACAGAATGCCCGTCCGCTCTCCCCCCTCTCCGTCCGTCCCTCTTCCTCTTGAACTTTTCATCCCAAGACGCATCGGATGAACACAAGTCAGCGCATCATACAACAGCAAAAGCACAACAACCAGCGTATGACTCTACAGCGGATGCGCAAAGGTCTGTCAGTGCCCCCGTCCCTGGGCTAGGCGCCCATAGTCTTCTCCGCCTCACTACATAGCGCGACCTAGAAATTAAGAGATGTCCAACGTTATCCACTCGCTGCCCTTGGCCACCATGTAAGAGATCCCTACAGGGGACCAGCATTCGGCCGCCTGCCGTCGGCCACAAGTGCGTGGCCCTGCTATGGTCGATGCCTACTGTACCACGACCACACGTTTGGTGCGAGAAGGGTGGAACATATCTGATGACTGAGAAGAGGAGAGCACGGGCGTCCTGAATGGCATAGCTGATGGAGGAGCAGCGATCAAAGAGCCCGTCACTCCCTCCGTCAATTCGAAGCAGAAGAATCTGCACTAAGACATACTCTCTGAGAGCGGCGCAGAGTTCTTGCCTCGGCGCTGGCCCCCCTCCCTGGCGCGCAGAGCGCGCCAAAGGAGGAACAGGAAACGCCGCCAGGGGGGTCAAGCGCCGATCCAAAAAAATCCGCGAGGACCTCCGAAAAGTTATGCTGATGTGGACGTTCCTTCTTCGATGCATTCGTCACCTTCACTTCCCCCCTCCCATCGCCTCGGTTCTTGCCTCCCGTTTCCACTCCCCTCCTCCACACACACATACACACACATCTCCCAACAACTCCATCCCAGAAATCCGCTTCCCTCATCTCCCTGCCCCCCCACCCTCCTTTCATCCATCCACCAGTCCTACAATCTGTCTTTGGCCTTACACGCTGTCATTTGAAACTGGCTACGGCAACCGAGACCGCGGAGGAGTTCTGCTCATTCACGGCGTGGATTCTCTTTCTGGCGCTGGGCCGATGAAGGGAAAGACGCTTGAGACACTCAACCGAAGGCGTGGTCGCGTCTGTGTGGTCGTCCTCGCCCAACAGCCCTCCGACAACAAACCCTGCTCGCCCCAGATGCCTGGCATAGAAGTTTAAGTACTCGACTCCCTCTCTTGTGCGTCCACGAGTAATTTTCAGGTCGACCTTGCCAAATCCGAGCCATGTCGAAGTTTTGTTGATAAGGCTTCGTGATTCGTAGTGGAACCCTCCCCGTTGTTTCTGATCTGCCCAGGCCCCTGTGACATTCAGCCGCTGGAAGTATATATCAGCACAACGTCTACCCAATCGGGACGCATCGGCCACCACGCGAAGCAATGTGCTTCTAGCGGATTCTCCGCGAGGGATCTGTATCAAAATGTGTGTGCCCTTCTTCATCAAATCGAATCGTTGACCATGCACGTTTTGGAGATGGGGATCGCCGACGGCCGAAATCGTGGTTACGCCAGTGTCGGCGCCCTGGGTTTGCGCGGCGGCCTGTGCCGGTTGTGACCACGCGTCTGGCGTCACGACGACATGGTGGCCAGTCGGATCCATCGGCGGAATCAGCGGTAGCGGTGGCGGCCCGTCAGCGGAATCAGCGATAGCAGTAGCGGCGGCGGCGGCTGGCGCTGCGTCTGACATGATATCCTCCTCAGTGGTGGTGACTTCTTCTGCTTCACCAAAACCGTTCATAGATTCGGAGGTGATAGTATCGGAGTCCGTCGGGCTGGGCGTGGGGCTGGACGTCGGGCTCAGCGTAGGGCTTGACGTCGGGCTGGATGTCGGGCTGGCCGTCGGGCTGGCCGTGGGGCTCAGCGTAGGGCTGGGCGTCGGGCCGGCCGTAGGGCTAGACGTCGGGCTGGACGTCGGGCTGGCCGTGGGGCTGGAACTCGGGCTCGGCGTAGGGCTAGGCGTCGGGCCGGCCGTAGGGCTAGGCGTCGGGCTGGACGTCGGGCTGGCCGTCGGGCTGGACGTCGGGCTCGGCGTAAGGCTAACCGTAGGGCTAGGCGTCGGGCTGGACGTCGGAGTTGCCGTGGGGCTGGACGTCGGGCTCAGCGTAGGGCTGGGCGTAGGGTCGGCCGTAGGGCTAGACGTCGGGCTGGATGTCGGGCCGGCCGTGGGACTGGACGTCGGGCTCGGCGTAGGGCTGGGCGTTGGTATGGCCGTAGGGCTAGGCGTCGGGCTAGCAGTCGGGGTGGCTGTGGGGCTGGAACTCGGGCTCGGCGTAGGGCTAGGCGTCGGGCCAGCCGTAGGGATAGGCGTCGGGCTAGCCGTGGGGCTGGCCGTCGGGCTGGACGTCGGGCTCGGCGTAGGGCTGGCCGTAGGGCTAGGCGTCGGGCTGGACGTCGGAGTTGCCGTGGGGCTGGACGTCGGGCTCAGCGTAGGGCTGGGCGTCGGGCCAGCCGTAGGGCTAGGCGTCGGGCTACCCGTCGGGCTGGCGGTGGGGCTGGACGTCGGGCTCGGCGTAGGGCCGGGCGTCGGGCCGGCAGTAGGGCTAGGAGTCGGGCTGGACGTCGGGCTCGGCGTAGGGCTGGCCGTGGGGCTGGTCGTAGGGCTAGGCGTCGGGCTGGCCGTGGGGCTGGACGTCGGGCTCAGCGTAGGGCTGGGCGTCGGGCTGGCCGTAGGACTGGGCGTGGGGCTGGACGTCGGCATGGCAGTCGCCCAAAAACCGCCACCGCAGACACAGCACGCGTAGTTAGCCGTCCCTTCTCCATTATAATCTGTATTGCCGTGAGCCGAACACCACGCTGGATTCGCAGCGTACGCACTGCAACCGTTCCATCCGTCATACCAGTCCTCGCCGCTGCGGAGTCCTGGGCTATCTAGGCACCCAGCAGTGGGTGCTGGCGTTGCGGCACCTGCCTGCGAGATCCACGGCTTACTTTGAATTATCATATGTTCATGAATCCTATGATGCGGAAATGCAAGCGCAAGAGACCCCAAGTAGTCGTGATCAAAATGGCGGAAACTGCGAAACTTAACATGTGGGAAACTGTCAAATCCAACGCGCCACGCATTATCGCAGACAGTACATCAATTACATTGATGTTAGTCGCTAATGGCACTCGTTCGCCTCAAACGGAAGCTACGATATCAACATCACACTTTCATTGTCCTCACAAAACGAAAGTTGCTTGCTACGCCATCCAAAAGTGATGACTGGTCAAAGATATGGTGGACATGCCCATGGCATCTACCCTGCCCCCTGGCGACCTCAAAGCCCGCCCCAATACTCCCTCGCGCACCCGCCTGGGCGAAGGTGTGGATTCACGCAAGAACGCAATTGGATATCCACCTCCTTTGAGAGGGCAGACACTTCCAATTTCAAACTCACGGGTTACACCTGGTCTCCCCAACCTGTGTGCAGAAAGTTCTTGCCCAACGGAGCTCCAAAGCGGAATAAAGGCCCGAATGTTGAAGAATTGGCCTAAGAAAAGTCCCATCTGGCCACAGGTGCCCGAAGATAGTCTCCAACATGGTTCAAGATGTTCCGCGCTGGATCAAGATGGCCCCCACCAGGGCCCAAAGAGGTCCAAAGACAGCTCCAAGACTGCACGAACTGGACCTGGAGCATCGCAAGACCACCCCCGCGAGGCCCAAATCATGAACAACCTATTGCTGTTCAATGATGTGTGTTGCCTCGCCTTCGTGCGTCCGATGCGCTTCTGGGGCCTCAGGACGGCTCCAAGGTAGCCGGAGAGGGCACCACGAGGAACAGCAAAAAAGATCCCATGACAGCCCGAAAGATGCCCCTGACAACCCAAGAGACTGCGTTTCTGGAACTGTCGGGGCGAAACTACTTGATGCCGCCACCGGCTCGACCGATGAACCCCGACCTAACACCCAAACGGGCTCCAAGAGGGGCACCAAAAGGGGTACCAAACCACCGAAATGACAGAGCCCCAAGATGGCCCCAGAAAGTCTGCCAGAGCCCGCCATATCGAAAGACCCGCGGCGTTGTTACTGATGTACGGCATCGCTCCTGGGTGGTTCAGGGTGGTACTGAGGTTCACGGTTCTGGCCGCAACGGTCTGGACCGCTACGGTTCTCTTCCGCTTCTGGTGCACCGGTCCACCCACAAGCGTACCGAATTTGGGAGCCGCATTTCGTGTCATTCTCAATGCGTCGTACATGTGGGCATGAGGGTAGGCATCGGAGAGCCCCGCCATGCCACAACATAGTGTGGCTGTTTTCATGCCTAGTATGTGCACTCGGGAATCTAAGGGGGTACCAGCAGGGGACGATCTGGGATAGAGTCAGAGTGCAAGTCAGCGAGGTTCGAACAGCCACAGCAGCCTCCCTGGATGAGGTGATGCTTATTTGTTCCTTACCATCGCAGTCGTGCATGCATGACGGCGGTTTCACCAGTTCACCGGTTCACCTGATTAGCGGGCGCGCGAAACAAATCGAACGCCGAGCGTGCTACGGCGGGCCGCGCCGGTAGCGAAGTGAAAAGCGCTGGTGGGAATATTTGTGTCGCAACCGCAGGCGAGGGCGCCAGCGGCGACTCAGGTCCGAGCGGGCCGCGCAAGAGCCGAATTGCCTAACGCCGACGGGCCGGCGACCTCAGCAGCGCTTCGGCGGGCGGGCCGGCGAGAGGGGGGTGGGGTGCGGGCTGCAGCTGCCAGGGACCAGGTCCAGGAGCGCGCACATGCAAGACTAACCAACCAGGGTTGGGGCGCAGCCAAATTGGCGCGGGGGTGGTACCAGGATGTGGCCAAGAAGGCAAACGACAGTACACTGCGTCATCTGCCAGGAGATCAAACTGGCCCTAAACTGGTGCATGAGGTGGCGCCACCAAAGTCGCACACCAAAACTCCTGAAGGGAGTACTGCTGGTGAGAATACTTTTTTCGGTCGCGTCCGCTAGCGAAGGCGCTAGCGGAGTCAGGAGCGCTACGGGTCAAGACAGCGGCCTAATTAGCAGCTAAATGCGCCGCACTCTCCTGCTGGTGAGAATACGCGAAGCATCAACAATTCAAACAGATGCGATTATCTGCAGCCCAATGCAGTTCGACAATGTCGGAGTGATCGTGAAGCATCTTCACTGCATCTCGACCCGACTTCGTGCCTACCATGATATCCTTGCAACTCGCGTAGCCGCCTCAAATAAAAAATACTCAGGGACGTACCCAGCCAGTCTGCGACAAAAGCAATACTGATGGGATCATCCAAGACGAAGTATGACGTGTAAGGACGCGCTGTCCCTTCTGCGAGTTACGTGGGGGCGCCACGCGTTGCGCGCTGCAACAAACCTGCAGAAGGCAACCCCAGAGGAAAGATAAATTCAGGCGTAAGCGGTCACTCCGCTGGACCTCCCAGGAGCTCCTGAAAGTGCCGACTGTTGCGTCATTGGCAGCGCCCAAGGAGGCTTCGGTCTGCGTAGGACCGCACTCCGCTGGACATGCCCCAAGCACTCGAAAGAGCCCAACTGTTGCGCTGTCGGTAGCCCCCAGCCAAGTGGGAGCATTAGCTTGGGTCAGCATAGGACCGCGCTCCGCTGGAACTCCCGAGAACTCCCGAAGGCGCCGACTGTTGCGCAGTTGGCAGCGCCCAGACAGGAGAACTAGTTTGGGTTCGTATGGGACCGCACTCCGCCAGACCTCCCAGAAGCTCCCGAAAGTGCTGACTGTGGCGCAGTTGGCAGCTCCCAGGGAGGGAAATCGAGGAAGTAGTGAAGAAGAAACGAAGAGGAAGCGAAGAGGAAGCGGAGAGGAAAGAGGAAACGATGAGGCGGCGAGAAAGAAGGGAGGCGAAAGACGGCAGCACGAGGGGGATGGGGGGAGGAGTGGGGGATCAGGGGAGGACGAAAGAGGACGGAGAAGCGGAAGGAGCAGCAATGCTCTCTTCGAAACGACGATTCATTACGGTAGCGCTGGGACACAACACGTTCACACGCCCATTGCTGCAGCAGATAGGGGTCCGGGCCAGCGGAGGCAATTTCATCGAGAGACATGTTAGAGGTGTAGGTTAAGGAGAGGTGGCACCGCAAACACGCCACCGCCGCAAGCGCAACATGCCCAAATGGCGGCACCCTCTCCATTGTAGTTGAAAGGGCCGTACATGTTGCACCAGTCGGGATTCTCCTCATACCCCTCGCAATCATTCCAACCATCGCTCCACGTGTTCCCGCTAACTTTACCAGGACGATCTGAACAACCGGTTGTTACCGTCTCTATCTCTACCTCCATCTCGATATCGCCAACATGGCGCCGATGACCTCGAAGTCCGAGGCTGGAATCGTGCACACGGACATGGACCGCTCGCACTCGCGCCCGCAGCGCCAAGGATATGAACAAAGCAGTGGTAGTGATTAAGGACATCGCATACAGTGAGAGTGCATATGAAGATGCGTGTGCATCAACTGGAGCGGTTGAGCGTCCATGAGCCAGAGCGGCTGCCGCGCGACTCGACCGGGGACTGCCTGCTCCCCACCCGTCACCACCGCGTGGCGCGCGGCCCCTGGAGAGACCCCCTGGGACGGCCCCAGACGGCCGCACGACGGCCCCGCGAGACCCCCCAGACGGCCACGAGGGCCCCAAGGGAGCTCCCAGACGGCCCCAAGAGGGCCCCAGACGGCCCGGGAGGGCTGCAAAGGGACGACCCCCAAGACTGCCCCACGGCAGCCCAAGACGGCCCCAAGACGGCTCGCGGCGTGCGGCAAGTGCCCCGCTGCCTTCGCACCGCGAGGCGCGCGAAGCACGAGGACTCGCGCCTGTTCGTGGCCCGTGGCCCATGGCCCTCGAGGACGCACTTGACCCGGGTCAACACAGGCCAGGGTCGGCCAGGGTCCTGTTGCGAAGCCCGGCCTGCCGCCTTGTGGTTCCCCAAACCCAGGTCAGGGGAGGGCGGGAAGGGAGAATCGGCCCCACGTGAGCAACGAAAAGAAACGGGTCTTGCGCGAGATGGCATAGCGAACTTGCGCCTCACGCGGGCAGCTTACGCGCAAATGCCCACGCAATCGAACCCATGGTTTGCGTCGCCCGACGTAGCTCCCAAACCTGGGTCAGCCAGGGGGGAGTGGCGGACCCTGGTTGGCGCCGACCCCCGACACGTGAGCCCTGTGGCCCGTTGGCCTGCCCGCGGCCCGGCAGCTCGCGCTGCCCGTGCCCGTGGGCGCGCGGCCTGTGGCGTGCGGCTCGTGGCCCGCGAGCCGCGGCTGTGGCCCGTCTCGAGACGGCGCGGTGACTGGAGGCCTCCCAAGTTGGGGTCGGAGCAGGCGGGGTCGCAGGATCGCGCCGCAACGCCCATGCATCGCCGATGCACTGGCGATGCATCGGTGACGACGACTATGCATCGGCGACGCTGGCGTGGAGTCGGGCTCCACATCAAGCAGCATCTCCGACCCCATCTACTCGGACCCCATCTAAGAAGTCTGGATTCTTGGCGGCGCCGAGACGGTGCGGTGACGGTCCGTGCGGTGGCCTCGGAATCTCCAAAGACCCTAAGATCCAGGCGTTGCAAGTTCTCACACCGGGCGTTCTCGCCCAGCTTCGGGCCCCTGGACCATCACATATCGATCCAGCTCCAACCAATGCCGCAGAAAGATATGGTCAAGGGCTCTATTCGCGATGCTGCACTCTTTTCTGGCGTCGGATCTCAGGGGACCTCACCGCACGGTCCGTCACCGCGCCGTTTCGGGACCTGGAGGCCCCCATTGCCCGAGACATCCTCGGAGAACGGTCAGAGTCCCAAAGCCGTGGGGCCATCACGAGTCCCCACTGGCGCACCACACGGTATGGTCTCCGCAACGCACGGGGGCCCCAGACCGTCGGGCGGCGCGCTGCCCGTGGGCCGGAGACCCGCGGCCAATGTCCAGGCAGCAGCGCCTGCCTGATCAGGGCTCGAGCTAAACAGCGTTTTTCCTTTTCGTTCTGTTTTCGCTTTCCCTCTGTCTTCGTTCTGCATTTGCTGCGAAGCGAAGTCAGTCAAAACGAAAACGGTCCACGAAATCGCCGAAACGCCGCTTAGCTCGAGTCCTGTACCTGATCAGCCTGCGTCCACCGCCGCGCTTCCTCTGCGGCAGCCGCGCGGCCAGCCCCTCACCGCTTCAAGCGAGGCACTGGTCCTGCAGTGCGGGGCACTCGACGGGGCCCCGCACGGAGCGGACCCCAGCAAAGATCCGCTTGAGTGGCAAGTCTCAGCGCCTTCGGACTTGCTCGGCCCTTGAAGGCCCTCCCGGCCTCAGAGGGCGGGGGCCCTGGCGGCTCCAGGGCATCCCAAGACCAGCCAAAGACCAGCCAAAGACGGGAGAGACGGTCCCCAGCCCCGTCGAGGCGGCACACCAGGACCCTGCGCCAAAAAGGCCATCTGAGGCGACCCAGACACCCCTTTCGAGGCCACGCAGGAGACTTTCAGCACAGCCACGCGAGCCAAAATATCGACAAACATAAACAACATCGGCTCTCCGAGAGGCCGTGATAGACGAACACTATCCCGAATCTCGAAGAAGAGAAACACCCATGAACAAAACTTTCGGAACTCCGCGCGGGTTTCTCGGATCTGCTCCTCCAAGCACTCGCGGGTCCCTCTTGGGGCGTCTCGGAGCCTTCTGGAGTCCTCCATCGAGCACCAAAACAGCCGTGGTGATGGCCAGGTATCCGACTCTGGCTCGCCCACTGTCGCCAACGCTGGCCCACCGCTTCGGAGAGCCGCGGCTGCATCGCAGGAGCGGCTGGCGGCGAGGGGCGCGCGCGCGCGAGGCGAGCTCGAGGCCCTGGGCCAGGACCGCGCAGCATGGCAGGATCATTGGAAAGGACCCCACCCGTGGCGGAGCACGGACGCCTCGCCCGAGAATCCCACCTTGATAGAGCCGGAGCCGATGTCGAGCACAATGACTTCCTGCGGGGCACTGGCGGCCACTTCGAGGCGCAACTTGTGAGCACCCAGATCAGTGAAAGAGGGGGAAGGCAGAAAACGACGCATGCGGGGCGAGATTACGTGTGCGCTAATGCAAATGTGCATGTAGACAAATCTATGTATAGATACACCTACCTGTACGACCACCCTGCGGGTGGGAGGTTCGGGAGGTAGGAACCAACGTCTCACTCAATCGATCTCACTATCCGTGTCACTATCGATCTCACTATCGATTTCACTATCGGTCTCACTATCGTTCTCACTATCGATCTCCTCATCGATCTCAATAGCGATCTGACGGTCTGTCTCACTGTCGATCTCACTATCAATCTCACTGTCGATCTCACTACGGGACACCAACGGGACACCGACGCGACACCGACGGGACACCGACGGGACACCGACGGAGCATCACTATCGATATCACTATTGGTCTCACTCGGTCGATCTCAACCTTGATCTCACTCGATCGATCTCAAAAACGATGTCACTATCGATCTCACTACCGATCCCGCTATCGATCGCACTATCGATCTCACAATCGATCTCACAATCAATCTCACTATCGATCTCACTATGGATGTCACTATCGGTCTCACTATCGATCTCACTATCGGTCTCACTATCGGTCTTACTACGGGACGCCGACGGGACACCGACGGGACACTGACGAGACACCGATCGGACACCGATGGGACACCGACAGGACAACCGACGGGACACTGACGGGCCACCACGGGACACCACGAGACACCATCGGGACACAATGGCGAGACACCCCCTACCACCGCCGGACAAACCCAGGGGGGCGCTCTTTTGGCCTGGCGGCTCCCTAGCCAGAGGAGAGATCATTCCTCGCCCGCCCGCGCAGCTTCGCCTGGACCGCACGCACGACACGAACACGAAACCGAAACCGATTTACCTTGGGGGCTCTCCGTTTCACTGCGATCTCAACCCCTTATCTCCGACGAATATACATATGTATGAACAATGTACTCATTTACCTGTATGCAGATGTGCAAATGGATATGTACATTTTTTGTGTATACAAGTCTGTATGTGTACATATATATACATACATACATACATACATATGCGTAACTATGCGTATTTACATACACATACAGGCCGCGCCAGTTCAGACAGCCCACTGAACTAGCGGTGTACTTGGCTGATGAGGGGAGAGATATTTCCTGGAAAACAAGTCAAATTAGGGCTTGGGTTCGGGCAGGGGGGAAGTTAGAAATTCGAGTTCGGAAACCAAGGAAAGCAAGAGTCCGAAGCAAGTTGGAGAAAAATTCAAGAAGAAACCAAAAGTAATTCAAATGGCTTAGCTGAATTTGCAGAAAGTTTGAAAAAGCTTGATCTAAGTTTGTAAATCTGGAAAATCGAAACAAAGTTCGAAACAAGTTTGGAAAGAGTTTGAAACCAATTCGGGAGTTCACGAAAAGTTCACACGCGCCCTGGGTATGTGGAACAGATTCGCCGCCTAACTTGATCCAAACTTTCTCCAGACTCCAGGATTCTCGCAACTTGGAACTTGAACTTTCTGAAAGCATTGGCCTCGAACTGTTTCCGCACTTGGATTTTCTTAACAAAATTACAAAACCAGCGTGGATCCTAA